GGTTGGATGCTGGGGGGGGTGGCAGTGGCTCGGGGCTCAACATTCTCCATCGCTGTCCTCCGCCAGCACCTCCTGGGTGGGGGCCAGGCCGGGCCCCCCCGGTGTCAGCACCGAGCCGAAAAACAGGGAGCGGAACTGTGGGGAGAAAGGGGGGGGTCAGGAAGGGGCTGTGACCGCCCCCAGGCACACCCATCCCAGACCTTCTTGTGAGGGGGGGTCATGAGGGGGCTGTGACCACCCCCTGCCCCCAGGCACACCCATCCCAGACCTTCTTTTGAGGGGGGGTCCCCGGCACAGCTCCGTCCTCTTCCTCCTCCTGCTCCTCAGGGTCGCTCTGGGCTGTCCGGGGGGTGCGCAGGGGGAAGGTGGGGCTGGGGGGGCCCCCGGTTGCCCCCTCACAGGCACTGCTCTCCAGGGCAACCATGTAGGACTCGAGGTCATCAGCGAAGTCGTCGGCCGGGGTGGGCAGGTGGGACACACTGATGGGGAGGGAGCGAGGAGACGGGGGCAGGATCAGGAATGTTCACTCTGGTCCCTGCTGTCGGCAGCTGGGGGGTTCCTGTGGGACTCACCCGTTGGTGGGGGGTGGGAGAGAGCTGCTTTCCAGGTCAGAGAGGGTGGCCAGCACCAGGTGAACCTCCAGCACGGTGTCATCCAGGGTGAAGACCACCGGCCTGGGGGCACAGAGGGGCTGAGGGTCGGGGGGACAGAGGCAGGGCTGGCACAGGGTGGGGGGCACAGCACCCCCTCCTACCTGCCAGGCTCATCGAAGTGGATGGTGAGGAGCAGGTTGGAGGTCTCGGCGAAGGTCAGCAGCCCCTGGGGATAAAGTGGGGGGTGAGGGGGGGGCTGGGGGGTGACACGGGGCTGGGGGAACCCGGCAGGGACTCACCCGAAATTCCTTGAGGCAGAAGGTGATGCAGGAGCCCGGGGACACGGTCACTGACTGGAACTCGTCCTCAGCCAGCCACAGCTCCGTCACCATCGTCTTGCTCAGCTCTGATGGGAGGGGGAGGTTGGCGGGGGGGGCTGTGAGGGCACCCCAGGGCAGACAAGGGGCTACTTCAGCCCACAGGGACTCACCTGCCTCGTCCTCCACGTAGTTCCGGAGGCTGATCTTGCCCCCGGGGCCGGTCCCCAGTGTCACCTCAGCCAGCGTCGGGGGGAAGTGGACCACAGCGTCTGCCAGCACGCTGGGGGCACAGGGGGTAGGTGAGGGGGGCACATGGAGGGGGGCTGAGCACCCCAAATCCCACGGGGCCAGCCAGGATCCCTCCTTCCTTCCGCCCTCATCCCCCTCTGCGCACCCCGGTGTACCCCTTTGTCCTGCCCACCCCAGTGCCATCCCCGTGGTGTCCCCTTGTTCCCCCCTCACCGTGCCGGGGCGCAGAGGCGGCTGGAGCAGCGCTGGGTGTCGAACACGGCCTGGAGCCGCTCGCACTCCTGGAAGGCCAGGTTGTGTGTCTTGGTGACACCTGGCAGTGGGGACACGGGCTCAGCAGGGCAGCACACGGTGCCAGCATGTTCCCGCTGTTGTGTCACCCCCCTGGCACTCACCATACTTGCAGTGGAGCTGCAGGACCAGGCGGCTGGCGCGGTGCTTGAGCAGGATGAGGCATTTCCCCACCGACTTGTCCAGCGAGGGCAGCGAGCGGAACACGCCCAGGAAGGACTGTGGGCAGGGGATGGATACAGGGGATGGATACAGGGACTGTCACCTGCCTGAGAACAACGGGGAGCTCGGGGGGAAGGTGTTCCCGGGCAGGGGGGCTGCACCTTCATGTGGACTTTGCATCGGAAGCGCTCGGTGTCGGGCGCGGGGCCGCCCGGCTCGTACAGCTGGAAGAAGAGGGGGGCGAAGAGGAAGGAGGCGAAGGCGGAGCGGGAGGAGTTGATGGCGCGCAGGGACAGCTGGGGGACACGCACACGCAGTGTTGGCACTGCCTGAAGGGACTGAAGGGGGCACAGGTGCCCCACCCAGCTCCCCCAGCTGCTCCGTACCCCCTTCTCCGTGGGCTCCAGGTACAGCTCGTCGCCGATGCGGGACAGGGAGTGCACGGCTCGGCCCAGCACTGGCAAAGAGAGGGTGAGTAAGGGGGGGTGAGGCAGGGCCTGGGGGACCCCCCCGCCCCGCCGTGCCCCCTGCTCACCTTTGACGTTGCCGCCCGCGATGACACATTTCATGGCACCGGCACCGGCACCGGGCGGGCACGTGGGGGCTTCGCGCCACCGCCCCCAGGCCCCGCCCCCGCGCGGAGGCCACGCCCCCTCCCCCACAGACCGCGCCCCTCAGTGACGCCTGCGAACTGAGGCCACGCCCCCTGCCACGAAAGACCACGCCCCCCAGTTGGTTCCGCCCCGCGGCCTCACCGCCCCCCTCCCTTCCCCACGGTTTTTGGTTTCCCCGCTCCTCGCCCCGCAGCTCCCCGCCCTCCCCAGCGGCCCCGCAGTGGTCTCGCCCGCTCCCCCGCCCCCCTCCAGCCCCTCCCGGTGGTTCCGGCCGCTTCTCCCCCGCCGGTGCCTTCCCGGCTTCCCGCGCCCGCCCTGCGCCCGCCGCCTCCCCATTGGCTGCGAGTGCCGCTCGGTCCCGCCCCCGCCGCGTTCCGATTGGTCCGCGCCGGGGGCGCGCGTGACGGCACGGCGCGAGAGCACCACGTGACCGGCGCGCGGGGGGGAAGCTCCCAGCTGCTACCGGGGGTGGCAGGTCCCGCCTCTTCCGACTCGCTATTGGTCGGTTCTCGGAGTGACGTGCGGCTCGCCCAATGGGGCCTCGACGAGCCCCTCGGCGCCGCTCCCCGCGTCGGGTCCTTCCCGGGGCTTCCCGACCCGTCCCGGGGCTCCCCCGGGGTCGTTCCTTCCCTGTTCCCCCCAGCCCCTTGACCCCTCGCTTCATTCCCAGCGGCATCCCGGGCGGGGCTGCCCTCCCGCAGCATTGCCTGCTCCGCCCGGTGCCCTCGCCCCTTCCCACATTCCAGGTGCTTTCCAGGAAGGGATACAGCTCCCTGGAGCTGCTCCGGTGCCCCCCGGGTTCCCGGGGGTTTTTCGATCCCTGCCTCCCGGGGGCAGGATACTGCTCCCATGTTGGCAGTGGTTAATGGTTAATGGT